TGTTCTAGCATCCTCTGCACCTCCTGAAGGCGTTTGGGAAATGAAAAACCACCCTTCACCTGTAGGAGGAAGTTTATAGCAGCTTTATCATTGTCGCTAAAAACTGGAAAACCAAATGTCCTTCAACAGGTGATGACACACACACAGTGGCATGCTTCTGCATAAAGGACTGCTGTTTGGCCAAAACACTGGAGGGAAGGGCTGATACAGGCAGCAGTATAGGTGAATCGCAAACGCACTGTGCTAAGCAAAGAATGTATATGTACTGTATGTCCCTTTCCCTTTACTCTGAGGAGAAAACCGCAACGATAAAAGGACAGCCATAGCAGTTTGACTCAGTGGATAGAGCATTGGCCCTCAATGGAATCGAACCTGGGACCCTTCTGTCTCAGGGCTGAAGCTCTATTCACTGAGCCATACCGGCCAGGGCTTACTGCCTTTATTGATTTTAGAGAGAGGAAGGGAGAGGGATAATGAGAGAGAAACAATACAGCTGCCTTCTGCAGGCCCCCAACCAGGGATCGATCCTGCAACCCGGGCGTGTGCCCCAGCTAGGAAGCCAACCAGTGACCTCTTAGTTCACGGGTCAGTGCTCAACCACTAAGCAACGCCAGGCAGGCTTTAATCTTTTTTTATATATATAATATGCTTTTATTGATTCTTTACAGAGAGGAGGAGAGAGGGATAGAGTTGTATTACTTATTTGTATTACAACTGTAAGCCTACTTTTGCCCATCTTTTATATATATATAAAATACATATACCTGTGTGTATATGTATTTTTATATATATATATATATATATATATATATATATATATATATTAAAAGTAGAAGCAAATTTACACAGTAAAACTTACCCTTTTTAGTATATAATTCTGAGTTTTGACTACATAAAGTCAAAACACATAGGACCTTATAACTATAACCATGATCATATGTGTGTGTGTATATATATACATATACACACACACGTATATACATATATATCATTTTAATTTATATTTTCTTTAAAAGAATTAGGCACTTAAGGAAAAGCAGTTTTTTGCACATTTCAGTATATTTTTTATGGAGCCCATGTAGTAAAGGTGGGGCTCTTCTCTTGATCCTAAGTAGATGAGACTAGATGGAAGTGCAGTTGTGTAGGGCAGTGGATGTTAATTTGTTACATGGTTTTCCTAATGCATAGACCACAGTGGGTGCGTGGCGATGGAGGGATTTAAGAATGGTCCGCCTGAGGTGCTTTCCCACTTTCTTGCTCTCGCTCCCATTCAGGTTCTGCAAATGGCTGTTCTCAAATGGTAGTTTGGCAAGTAAGAAAACATAATCTCCCTCTAATCTTTCCCTAAAATAGCCATTGTTAACCAATTTATGTATTCTTTTTTCTGTACTCATTCTAGCATGTGCACACACACCCACGCACATATTCATGGATGTGTCTTGTGTTTACAAAATAGGGCGTTCTAGCATGCATGTTCTCTGCAGCTTGCCTTTTTTGTTGGTTAATTTAACATTTTATCATGCCTAAATTTCCTCCAGTGAAAATACAAATAGATCGCAACACCTTTGTGTGTGTGTGTGTGTGTGTGTGTGAGTACTCTTCCGTAGCATGAACGTGTCATAATTTACTCTCCTCTTCTTATGTAGATGGACATTAAATGGTTTTACAGACTTTGGCCAAGTAGAAGCAGTTTAGACCTAGAAAGTATTTGGCTAGGAACTGACTTGAGCCATTTTGAAGCAGTTATTTTACCAAGTTCAGTCCAAGAACCAAACGGGGAGGTGCTGAAACGCCCATAACTCGGCTTTTGTGAGCCCGACTCCCGCTCTGAGCCCGCACACCTGGGCCCTGGCAGTGCGCTGGGGGAGGGAGTGTGTGCGGCGAGAAGGGTCGGTGTGTCTGGGGGTGTCCTGTTCACGGTCATTAATTCCACAAAGGTTTCGGGATCAGCTTTGTGCCAGGAGCTCTCTGAGGTGCTGGGAATGCAGAGATAACGGACACACGGTCCTTGTCCCCGGAGCTTTCTGTGGAGCCGGCTGCAGACGCCCCTCAGCACCACAGGGGAATATCGGGAGGGGAGAGTCGAGCATAATTTCTCGAATACCTAACATTGTTAATCGCCTTTCAGATGTACTACAATCTGCGCGTCACTTAAAAACCGATAACTCTGGTAAAAGCTAAAGTTAGCAGTGTAAAAGGTGCTGAGAAGGAGGAGTTCAAAGACAGGAAGCTGAGGGAGATGGAAGTCGGAAGAAGTCTCCTGGGGAGCAGCATCTAAGGAGATCTGTGAGGAGAGGTTGGACTTGTGACAGGTGGCCACAGAGGGAGAAGCAGGCCCACAGGGTTAGGATGTAGAGGCCTGGGAAGGTCAGAGGGGCACTTACGTAGCCCAGTGAGAGGTGCCGAGGGGCTGGAACTGTGACACAGTTAAGGGGAAAGGCAGAGGTGGCAGACAAGGTGAGATGTGGCAGCTGCCTGATGTTTAGATGGAGGAAGGCAGATAGGCAGCAGAGATGACTCAGGTTTCTCACCTGAATAACCAAGAGCGGAAGGTGCCAGTGTCAGTCATAAGAACAGCAGGAGAGGGGCTGGCTTGAGAGGAAAGGTGAATTTGGTTGGAATATGACACGGTAGGATATCTAAGTGAACAGGTTATCTAGCATTTGGAAAGTCAAGGACAAGGTGGTGGCTGGAGGGAATAGATTTGACAGTTCCTGAAGAGGCCGGTTTAGGTTGAGGGAGTGGATGAAGTCAGCCTGGGAAGGAAGAAGAGGCCCTTAAAACCTTGGAGACTCACATGGAAGGAAGGGACAGGGGCAGACGTGGCGGGGAAAGGTGAGAGGCGGCTTTGGTGCTGTGTCCCCACACCGCAGGAGAACTTACCAAGAGCGCTCAGTCCGCAGTGAACCGTGTTGAACTGAACTGACCACCTAACTGACGTTGAAGAGGAGGAATCATCCTTCTCCAGGGAATAGGGAAAGGGGACCTCGGGCTTCGGGTGGAGAAGGAATCGGGCCGTGGCATCCAAGCTGGATGAGGGGGGTGTCACACCGGACGGGCTGAGTGGGCCTGGCTGACCTGCAGCCGCCGTGGGGTCCCATAAGCAAGGAGAGGAAGCTGTGCAAACGGAAGTTCTCAGTGCAGAGCAGGGTCAGCAAGTGCAGCTTGTTTTGTAAGTGAAGTGTGTTCCCGAATCCAAGGGGTGTCACAGAAGTGGTTGTCACAGGTGTCCTTGCAGCCAGTTATGGAGGCCAGGTTCCTATCCAAAGCTCTGCCTCCCCAAAGGAAGGCTCAGCCACACTGTTTGGTCCGTGACAGTGATTTTCCTGTGCCCTGGTCTTCTGGGTTACAGTTACAGCTGTAGAATGCTATGCTGCATTTTAACATCCAGCAGGAATAACATTCAGAGCATCCTAGACCTGGAGACCCTTGTCCTAACCGTGTTCAAGTTGTGTGTGGCTGGTTTGTGCTACAAATGAAGACTGTCTGACCCTTTCCAGGAAAGGTTTGCTGACCCCTGGAAGGAGTCGGGGTTTGAGGTCTGGTGGTGGCCCCGCTGGGGTAACAGTGAGACTGAGGGAGAAGCTAGGCGAGTGGTGGTCATTGGGGAACGCCACAGCCAGGAGACCGAGAGGGGCTTGGCAAGGTGCTAAGATCCCCCGATTGCAACAGAGGATGTGGTTACTGAAAAGGTCCAGCCTGCAGGTCCTGACCCTTCAGGAGAGTCAGACAAGGGAACAAGCATGAGGAAGCATTGATCCCAGCTGTTGCCCCCTCCACCTCACATCCCCTCTCTCCCTCCCTCTTCCACACACACACACACACACACACACACACATACACACACACGTCTGCAAGCCCCAGAGGAAGGTACCAAAGTATTTTCTGTCCGCCCCTCCCTGGACCTCCCACCTCCACCCCGCCAGGGGGAGAGGGGGAGCCCTGTGTGTGGAGGGGGAGGCGCTCACAAGTGCCCGGGGTCCTGGTCGAAAGGTGGCCGTTGGTGAGGACATGGTGTGGCTGTGCCCATGGAACTGGGTTCTGAAGGACACAGAAGCAACCATGGAAACACTGTTGGGAGGGAGCTAAGGGAGTGTGGGAGGGCGGGCCTGAGGTCTCCAGGAATGGTCCTGCCAGCTCCGCTCATCAGGTGAGCTGGTGGTTTGGTTAGAAACTAGTGCCAGTGCCCCTTCCAAGCCTGAGCACCATGCCAGGTATGAGCACATGGTCTGTTTTCTAAGGAATCCTCCATCTGCCCTAAAACCAGATTCTGGCAGTGAGGAGCCCATGAACCTGTGTGCTCCCGCTGCGGGGGGGGCCGGGAGGTCTCGGTCATAGCCTCACAGGACTGCTTCCACTTACATCACTTTTTGTTCTAATCACCAGAGGGAGGTTTTAGACACACGGGTCTGTGCTGCAGTCCGTTCCCTGGTCCCCTGGCCCCTTTGCACTTCAGGTTATTGTTCTCCTTTTGTTTTATTAACACATTTTATTGGTTTTAGAGAGGAAGGGAGAGGGAGAGAGAAACAACAATGATGAGAGAGAACCATTGATTGGCTGCCTCCTGCACACCCCCTACTGGGGATCAAGCCCACAACGCAGGCACGGGCCCTTGGCTGCAATCAAACCCGGGACCCTTCACCCACAGGCAGACACGCTCTATCCACTGAGCCAAACCAGCTAGGGCTCTTTTTGTTTCTTTTGGGAAGAAAAGGTTTTTATTTTTAAAGGGTCAGTGTATGGCTGAGCGGAAGATTCATTGTCAGCTCTCTAACATGCTGCCGAAGGGAAAAGAATGAGCCAGGTGCTGGAGCCGCCGTGCTGCTCCCGGGAGCTCTGCGTTCATTTCCTGCTCTTCGCTTACCTCTGGTGGGTCAGCAGCAGTGCTTTGAGGTGGGCAGGCTATCCTGGCTGGGCCCCCAGCCACTGGAAAGCAGGGCAGCACCGCCCTCCCCCCCGCAGTCCTGACTCACTTCCTTCTTCACCTTCTTGTTGTGCAGGGGTGTTCTCCCGGCAGATACTACCCCGGTCCATTTCAAGGCTATGAGCACCGCCAGCGCAGACGCCAGCAGCCAGAGCCCGGGCCTTACCCTCAGAGTTTCCAGCTTCAGCAAATAGCGTTTCTCCAGGGGCAGCTCCCAGAAGCACCCCTCGTTGGAAAGCAGACACCACCGCCACCCTTCCTCCTTGAACCCTGGCCGAGGTTTCCCGGACCACCTGCCAGAGGCCGGCCGCTCGAGGTCTGGGGCGTCCCGAGGGGTGTGCCTCCCCGGAGCCAGGCCTTCCACCCGGGATTCCGGCCTCCTCCCCCGCCCGGCGGGGCTCGGCCATGGGGAGGTGTTGACCGGCTCTCCTCGCGTTTCCAGGCGCTGAGCATCAGCCGGGGTCAGGAGCAGAGGGTCCTGGAGCTCCTGCAGGAGCAAGGCGAGGGGAAGGCCACCACAGCACATGACCTGGCTCGCAAGCTCCAGGCCCACAAGAAGGAGATCAACCGCGTCTTATACCGTCTGGCAGAGAGGGGTGCGCTGCGCAGGGAGGCGGGAACGCCCCCTTTGTGGAGACTTGCAGCTTCCGCTCCGGCTCTGAACCAGCACAACCGAGTAGTGACAGCCGACGGGTGGAGCCAGGGAGCTCCAAGCTCAGGTCCCAGTTGGGAACCCGCCGACAGGAACCCCACGTCCGACTCGGAAGACGAAGAGCCCCCTGAGCCTTTCGACATGGCCGAGATCAAGGAAGACATCTGCAACCACCTGTTTGACGTGTTCAAGTCCTCCGCCCTGAATTTGGCTAAAAACATCGGCCTCTCGAGAGCTCGCGATGTCAATGCCGTGCTGATTGACCTGGAGAGGCAGGGGGACGTGTACCGGGTAGGGACCACCCCTCCCATCTGGTTCCTGACCGACAAGAAGCGAGAGAGGATACAGATGAAGAGGAGCACGAACAGCGTTCCCGAAGCCGCTCACGCTGCGGTCCCCGAGCCCAAAACAAAAGCAGAGCTTCCCGCCTGTCGCTCCCCCCCGCCAGCTGCCTCAAACGAAGCGGCCCCGGAAAGCCTGGAGAATGGACAGGAGCCGGTCCTCAAGGCAGAAAGTAGTCCACGGGTCCCCCCAGAACCCGTGAAACCGAAACCACCTGTTTGTGACAATGGCCCCTCGAAGCCGGGGTGTGTGGACTTTGAGAACGGCCAGTGGGCCACCGATGACATCCCGGATGACCTGAACAGTATCCGCACCGCCCCAGGGGAGTTCCGCGCCATCATGGAGATGCCCTCCTTCTACAGTCATGGCTTGCCACGGTGTTCACCCTACAAGAAGCTGACCGAGTGCCAGCTGAAGAACCCCATCAGCGGGCTGTTAGAGTATGCCCAGTTCGCCAGTCAGACCTGTGAGTTCCACCTCCTGGAGCAGAGCGGACCGCCCCATGAACCTCGGTAAGAGACCCCAGGACTCTGCGTGCCTAGGGTTGGGTCAGGCGCTCTTGCTGCTGACAGGTGGCTGACTCGTGAGCAATGCTGTGTGGTGGCCCCGACTTTTCCCTCCTCCTCGCTGCCCTCCAGCTAACGCACCCTTGCTGGCCCTTCCTCTAGATCAGGGCTGGGGAACCTGTTGTCTGCCAGAGGCATTTGGATATTTATAGCATCATTTGCTTCATGTAATTCACTTAATATAAATTTGTCGCTATGAAAAGAGCTCCTAGATTTACTAAATTTCAAGTCCCGCCCATGGTCGCCTTGGCAGGGCCAGACCAAATGGTTTTGAGGGCCTTATACGGCCCGTGGGCCGGACGTTCCCCGCCCCTGCTCTAGATCTTGAGCGAGGAATGTAGACCTCAGACCAACCAGCATCCTGGCTGAGCAAAGGGAAGGTCAAAGCTTCTTGGGAAATGGTTAGCTTTCATGCATCGATGTCACGTCTGCCTGTTAAGGCCAGAGGTAATGAAGACGTGACTCCCTTGCCCCCCCCCCCCTCATGACCGTTCCCACTTCCCCATCTAAGTCCCAGGAGGTCCAGGAGCAGGTGGGCGGGGCAGGCTGCACATGAGAGCAAGGGGGCCTGTGCTGCCAGCAGCGGTGGATTCCAGCCGCCTCGCCCCCTTTCCGCGGGGAAAGGACAGTGTAGAGCACACACGCTGCCTGCCTGCCTGCCTGCGAGGTGGGTTCTGATTTACACACCTCTGTGCGGGCGGGTGGGCCGCACTGGCTGCTGCTCCTGAGCTGTGAAACCAGAAGTGACCTCACTCAGACAGCTGGCCGGCTCTTGCAGGCCAGCGGGCAGATGGAGGGAAACAGGCAGGCCCAGAGGGAGCTGCGAAGGGCCCGGCAGAGAGCTGAAGCCACTGGCGCCGAGTGGCTGCACTCCTGCTGGGGCGGACAGGAGAGGCTCACCGAGGCGGTTTGCTAGGGGCAGGATGCCCAGCTTCCCCCTTCCCCCTCCCTGTGCCCGTCTTACTGACTCGGCGATGGCATTGCGGGGGAGCTGTTAGGCAGAGGGCGTGTGTCTGTCCAAAGTGACAGGGCCTGGCTGGCCGTCATGCTCTCGTCCTTCATCCTTATCCCCGGGGTTGGGGACAAGCAGTGGGGTTGGTGGCTAACCGTTCTTTGGCCTCCAGCTGTAAGAAACATTGATGCCATAGTCACATATTTCAGAAGACCCAGGAAATAAGAATCTGACCTACTTTTTCTAAATGAAATCCCAGATTGAGCAAAGAGCTGAACAAATTTAAAAGCTTGAACAAAGGAAGTCTAAGCTCAGTCCAGAGGCCTAGAGCAAGTGCTTTTTGGTTTTCTACATAACAGGGAAAGTCCTTTCATCCCAGGCTTCACATAGAGCTTTAGAGCGACTCAAAACCAGCCGTAAGAGTGGTGTGTCCTGTGGGTAGGCTGGGACAGAAACAGCCCCGAGAAGGGACAGGTGTTCTGGTCCCTGCAGGTGTCTAGGGAGGGAGACTGCATCGTAAGAGCCTTCGCTTGCCTTAGAGCTACCCTCGCTGTGGCCGGTCTGTGCGGCTGCTTTAGGTGAAGGCTTGGTTGCTAACAAGACTGTAATGGTGACTCTAGCTCCTCATTTTTATAGACTTTACCTCAGTTCATTGCTGAGAGATCGTGGGGGGTCCCTGAATTGTGGCTGTTTGCTCTAATGAGCTGTGGGGGGAGAGTCGCTGGCTGTTTTTCTGAAAAGTAGGGACAGGCTGAGCCCCCAAAGGACAGGAGTCCCTGGCCTGCCCCTCACAAGAGTTCCCCCCAGTCAAAAAGCCCCTCACAAGTCAACAAGCCCCTCAGAGCAGTAGGAATTGCAGGTGCAGATCTCTTTGGAGAGGGCAGAAGGGAGACCTAGACTAGTGTTCACACATCTAATCACTTTCCATCAAGATTTAAATTCCAAGTTGTCATCAGCGGCCGAGAGTTCCCCCCGGCTGAAGCCGGCAGCAAGAAAGTGGCCAAGCAAGATGCCGCCACGAAGGCCATGACCATTCTGCTGGAGGAGGCGAAGGCCAAGGACAGCGGAAGGCCGGAAGACTCCCACTGCCCTTCCCTCGAGAAAGAGTCAGAGAAGGTGGGTGTCCGCCCTCGGCCGGGGTCTCCGTTACCTTCCTGAGGGTGAGGGAGCAGGGCTTCGGCTGGCCTTCTAGAGGCATCTCGGCCTCACAACTGACGCTGTGCCCTCAGCCACCCCCCTCACCAGCAGTTGAAAGAGATATGAAAGGTTACCAGTCCAATCTCCTCTCGAAGATAAGACAGGAGACTCGCCAGGCCCCAGAGACTCAGGGGTTGAGCATCGACCTATGAGGTCACAGTTCGATTTCCGGTCAGGGCACATGCCTGGGTTGTGGGCTGGATCCCCAGTAGGGAGCTTGCAGGAGGCAGCTGATAATGATTCTCTCCCATCATTGATGTTTCTCTTTCCCTCCCTCCCCCCACCTCTGAAATCAATTTAAAAAAAAAAAAAAAAAAAACTTTTTTAAGAGCCCCAGAACCTTTAGCTCACCCTTTCCTGTGATGTTTGAAGAATCCCCACAGCCTCTTCCTTTGGAAGCCAGCCCTGAACGTGTAGTGACCAAAAGAAATTCTCCCTCCCCGTGCCCTCTGCGGGGATGGACTAGCCGGTGTTGTCTCACTGTCTGTGCTGTTTCTTCTCTCGTTTCCTGCAGACGGCGGAGTCCGAGCCCACCACCCCTTCAGCAGCGTCATTCTTATCCGGGAAGAACCCCGTCAGCACGCTGCTGGAGTGTGTGCACAAGCTGGGGAGCTCCTGCGAGTTCCGCCTCCTGTCCAGAGAAGGCCCTGCCCATGACCCCAAGTACATCTCTTGTGTCCTGTCTCTCTGCTGAGCTTTTCTCAAAAAAGGAGAGAGATGCCATTCTTCCTTGCCTCCTCCGCAATGGCAGCTATATTTCACAGAGCAGTCACTCCTGCCAGTTCTCAGTGTGGAAGATGGGGGGCCATGAGGGCATGGTTGCTGCTTGTGGAGCAGAGAATCTGGGACTAGGAATTGAAAGGGTGCGGCAGGGACCGAGCACTAGGGAGGTGCGCGTCTTGCTGGTGGGACAAACCGTACAAGACCTGGGCACACCTGACAAGCCCTGCTCTAAGGCTCTGCAGACTTACGTGCTCAAGAGGAGGAGGCAGTGACACTAGGCTGATGCCTAAATGTGGAGCAGGGGTGGCCAGGCTCAGAGAGACAGGGCAGGAGGAGGGAGAAAGGCACCGCTCTGCAAGGCAGAAGTGACTGCTGCACGGAAATGAAGTCCTGAAGGACGACCGCCTGACAGAGGCTAGGTGAGCCCCTTCCCACAAAGCATTTAACCTGCTCGTCTCCTGCCAGGTTCCAGTACTGTGTCGCCATGGGAAACCATACCTTCCCCACCGTGAGTGCCCCCAGCAAGAAAGCGGCCAAGCAGATGGCTGCCGAGGAAGCCATGAAGGCCCTGCACGAGGAGGCCAGCAACTCGGCGTCGTCTGATAACCAGGTGAGGTCATTCCCGACTCCAGATGCCGGTCACGTTCAGCCGCAGGACGGCTTAGGATCGCCCAGGTGTCGCTCGGTTTCCTTCACTGTTTCCTTGGCTGATTCTCTTCCAGTCCGGAGACGCCAGCACAGAATCACTTGAGAACTTGGAGTCTATGATGCCCAACAAGGTTCGGAAGGTCGGCGAGCTCGTCCGATACCTGAACACCAACCCGGTGGGCGGCCTGTTGGAGTACGCCCGCTCCCACGGCTTCGCTGCCGAGTTCAAGCTGGTCGACCAGTCCGGACCTCCTCACGAGCCCAAGTGAGTGTTCCTGTGCCGACTGCGGTGGGTGTCAAGGGGGGCTCTGTCACCCATTGGGGGGTCCCCTGTAACCCAGGGAGAAAGGATGCGCACCAGCCGTGAGGGAGAGCAGGGAGAGCGAGTTGTAGGAAACAAGTCCAGCCGTGTCTCTGTGACCCCCTCAAACGGCGGTGGGGAGCATGCGGCCCATGGGCTGGACCATCTGGTTTGGCCCTACCAAGGCAACTGTTACGGGTGGAACTCGAAATTTAATAAACCTAGGAGCTTTTTTCATAGCAACATAATTTTTAAGTTGATAATTTTGTATGGCCCGCTGTTACAAACATCCAAATGGCCCTTGGCAGAAAAAGGTTCCCCACCCCTGCCCTAGGCGATCAGCTATCTTGAGAGTATAGTCACTTTGCTAATGAGTATGAAAATAATAATCTGTATTTGCTTTTTAATTTTTTTAACTAATTTTAATTTTCAAGAAAATCACTCAAGCTGAAGAAAATCACTCAAGCTGATTAAAAAAGTATGCAACGAAAGCTCTTATTTCTAACTCGGGCTTCTAGTTCCCTCCCCACACTCCCCATACACCAGTGGTCGGCAAACTGAGGCTCGTGAGCCACATGCGGCTCTTTGGTCCCTTGAGTGTGGCTCTTCCACAAAATACCACGGCCTGGGCGAGTCTATTTTGAAGAAGTGGCGTTAGAAGAATTAAAGTTTAAAACATTTGGCTCTCAGAAGAAATTTCAATCGTCGTACTGTTGATATTTGGCTCGGTTGAGTCAAGAGTTTGCCGACCACTGCCATACACTATTACCAACTGATTGGGTCCCTCTAGAAATTTCCATGCATATATTAGCATGTTTTTCTTTGTTTTAAAAATAAGTATATAACTTATCTTCTGTACCATGCCTTGATTCCTTTTCTTACCAGTGTGTCTTAGAGATCATTACAAACCAGCGTGGATAGATCTGACTCCTGCACAGCTTCATAATATTTCATTGAATAGACGCTGTTAATAAACCAGAGATATGAATGGTCTTTTCTAAAACAGATACCCATGCAGTTGACCTAATTTAAGAAAGAGTATGTTGCTACTGTCAAAGCACCTGCTCTTACAAAATTTATTTAACCAATTTCCAGTGACATTAGGTTGGTTTTGATCTTACTGTTAAAAGCACTCCTGCAGTAACTGTCCTATTGTATGTCTGCTTACATGTGCAAACATGTTTGTGGTACACATTTTCAGGAATTTCTGGGCAAACATGGGTCATGGACTTTTTTTTAAGTTTTTTTTAATAGGTAATAGACTATCCAAATTTTAAAAAATTTAAATAAAAATATAAAGCTCATTCTCACCCATTCTCCCTTTGGCCCAACTCTCACCTACACACACATACAGCCACCCAGCACATCCACATGTAATGACTTTGTTATTATGTATCCTTCCATAGTATCCTTATATAAATACAAGGAGTATTGATCTCCAGCTTCCTTTTTATAATTGTATTACCTTGAAGAGTTTCCATGTTACTTTGTATTCTTTGTAAATAGGTACAAAATACAGTATTCCAATGTCGCAGGTTTATCATGCTTTGTTTGACCAGCCCTTATTGATGACTACTTGGATTGTTTCCAAAATTTTGCTATTATAAACGATGCTGCAATGAATAACATGTTTATGTACATACAAAATTTTGGCAAATATTGCCAAACTTTCCTCCAGTGAGAATTATACTAGTTTATGCTTACACTAACAATACAGAGTGGGCAAAAGTAGGTTTATAGCTGTGAGTACAGTTTCTTCTTATATTATTATTTTATTATATTATTTCCATATGAATAATTTCCAAACCTATTTTTGCCCCACCCCATATATAAAAATGGCTTTTCCTCTACACCATGACCAATATGGCATTATCAACATTTTTATCTTTGCCATTCTAAAATGTGAAAAATGGCACGTCAGTGCATTGCAAAGGTTATTCTATATTCAGATATTTATCATAATTTATCATATTAATAGATCAAACGAGAAAAACCAATCGATGTATCTCTCACTTGGATGTTTCTCTCTCCCTCCTTCCATTCTCTTTAAAAATCAATGGAAAAAAATATCCTTGGGTGTGGATTTGAAAAAGACAAACCTAGTACTTTGACCAGCGTGCACCCCGCTATAGAACAGTCAGCCTTGAGGGGGCCAGGAAAGGTCCTCTCCTCAGCTCGGGCCACTTAGCATGTGTCACCGCCTCAGAGAGGAGAGGGGCGGGCTCCCGTTCATACCCCTCACACTCCCCTCATTCTTTAACTTCCTCATCTGCATCAGGGTTAGTCCATTTCCTCTTCCTCTTCTGTAAAACTTTCCACACAGTCCTTTCTAGGCCTTCAGATCAGTCATCCACTCAACCTGAGAACTCACTGTGAACTACATTACAGATACGAAAAGCGCCCTGACTGTTCGCAGTCACGTAAGCACAGCATGGGGCTTGCTGGAGGTGGATGCGAGGGATTGTGGGGACTCGGTGCACGCTGGGCAGTGGCCCCTGGGGTGTCTCAGAAGGTTGCACCGAGGGGAAATGCTAATTTAGAAGCTACATTTATTAAACATCTGGTACAATAACACACATTACTTCCTCCTTACTGTGAACCATGCTGAGTCCTCTTTTTTTCCTTTCTATCCTTCTTGGCAAACTTCATTAATTTTTTACCTTTTTTGTTTGTTAGTTTTTATCCTCACTCGAGGATAGTTTTCCATTGACTTTTAGAGAGAGTGGAAGGGATGGGGAGAGACAGAAACATCAATGTGAGAGACACATCAACTGGGCTGGGGATCAAGTCATGTACCTTGACTGGAACCAAACCCACAGGCCGACGCTCTACCCACTGAGCCAAACCGGCTGTGGCCTACGACTTTTAACATCGAAATGCTGGAGACCTTTCAGAGCTCCAGCCGCCTCGGTCCAGCTGCTTGCATGTCACTTCTGGACAGACATCTCAGAAGCAGCACTCCTTGATTTTTGCTCCCTCTCTGCCCTTGGCCTTTCTGTCTCAGTCAGTGACATCGCTCCCCATCCTTGAGTTCTGTTTGTTATGTTCACTGTTTCCATCCCAAATCCCTTCCTCGTCTTTCCAGCTCCAGTTACCCTCTAGGGCAGGCTAAGCACTGTCTTCTGTCCCATAACCCAGGGCAGGAGCCACCTGATCTCCCTCCCTTAGTCATCCAGCCATTATTTGTGGATACATCTTATCTGTTAGTGCAGGAGCCAGGTAGTAATCAGTAGTCACGTGAAGTAACGTGAGCTCTCATGTTCCATGTGTCTGACAAAGGACGCGAGTGGCATGTGCAGGAGAATCTCCGTGCAGGACCTGACGGGGTCAGGAGAGGGGGGAGGGCTTCGCTGAGAGGGGAGGGAGATTGAGAGAGAAGTGGGGGCTCCAGGCGGAGGAGACAGCACAGGGCCTGGCCCGGGGGAGCCACAGGGCCTCGATGGAGGCTTTGTGCTTTTGCCATCCAAGCAGTGGGAAGCCGTTGGAAGGTGCTAAGGGCGGGGCTGCCACTTGCCTCCACCCCCGTTCTCTTCCAGCCTTTTTCCTGCTGCGCTGTCCCACTGAGTTTTCTTTCCTGCTCGAGAAAACCACTTCAGACCTTTGCCTCTTCCTTCACATTTCCACCAAAATCCCTCTTCCTCACTCTAAATTGGTGATCTTAATTCACACTTGGTTGAGAAAATAGCAATAGTCATAGGACAAATACTTCACCTCACCATCGGCTTTGCCCCTCTCCCTGCATCTGTGCGTCTGTCTGCACCCCCTGCGGGAAGCATCCCTCCTCCCTCCCTCCCTCGGCACCAGGCTGGGTGCCTCTGCCAGCCTGTGGACATGACTATGCCCGACTTAGGCGCCCCGCCTTGAGCCCACATCCTCTCTCTGCTCCCCTCCTGGCCAAACCTCTCAATTATTGGTAGTCTTTGTCTTCACTTACTTAACGCATTCCAACGGAGCTTCTGTCCCCAGCGCTTCGCTAAAAAGGCTAACCACCAGCCATATGTGGTTACTGAGCATTTGGAATGTGGCTGGTGTGACTGAGGAACTGAATCATTAATTGTATTGAATTTTAGCCAAAGTTAACAGCTCCCTGTGGCCAGTATCTACCATATTGGACAGTGTGGCTCTAAGGATTCTTAACTGCATAATTTACAAATTTTATCATAGATACATATGTGATATATGTGCAAACACATGAACAGTGGTGAAATTCTCCCCCTGGCAGAGGCCCAACATGGCCAGCCCCGCCCCCTCTCCTTCACTGGACTCCAGCCCTCCTCCCGGCACGCCCCTCTGGCATCAGCACAACAGGGTGACGGCGTTCAGTGCCGTGGATGAGCACGGAACAGCGAGAAGCTTGGCTCCCGTTAGCGCCTGAGCTTCCCTGCCTCCATCCCGAAGCCTTTCCCACGTGCCATTGGATTGGCCAAAGCAGGGTCCCCAACCCGCAGATTAGGGTGCTTGAAAGATAGGATCCTTGAACTCTGATCCGATAGACGCTCCAGCCATTTTGTCATCCTACTCTTCCCTCCGTGTGTGTGGCCCCACAGGAAGGGCGGGCCCCAGGGCCAGCAGCACTGCTGCCCGCCTCCCTGCTCTACTCGGGCCCTTTACAGGAAGCCAGTCCCAGGCCACGAGGCTCTCCATCCCTCATAGCCACCCAAGGCTTCCAGGAATGGAAAACCAGCTCCTCGTGCAAGTTTGGCTCCCTGGTGCAAGACGGACTTGGCATTCTGGCCTAAGTGATAGGTTATATCTGAGTCTAGCAAGAGCCGCCTGCGACCCAGGACCGTCAGAGCCCAGGCACTGCTGCCGGAGAGCAGTGGCGGGCTGGGGCCTGAGGTTGGCTGCATCTTAAGCAAAACCTGCGTTTCCTACAACTGCCCGCACGTTCAACTGTTGTCTTTGTCCCCCACCTCTCATCCGAAGGTTTGTTTACCAAGCAAAAGTTGGGGGTCGCTGGTTCCCAGCCGTCTGCGCGCACAGCAAGAAACAAGGCAAGCAGGAGGCAGCGGACGCCGCGCTCCGCGTCCTGATTGGGGAGGACGAGAAGGCCGAGCGCATGGGTTTCACAGAGGTAACCCCAGTGGCGGGGGCCACTCTCAGAAGAACTTTGCTCCTCCTCTCGAGGTCCCCAGACGCACAGCCAAAGACAGTTAAGACGTCTACTTTTGTGCTATCTTCTTTGGGGGTCCAGCCAGCTCCTTTGGGTGGAGTTAGCTCTCAGTGCCAGTGTGTGATTACTCCTGGGCTTTCATGTCAGCCTCCCAGACGGGAACGGGCACCAGGCCCGAGGGGGCCGGACGGCTCGCTGCCGAGGGAGCGTGTCTCCCGCCCCCTCGGAGGCGCGGCAGCCGCACTGCCCTGGGCCCTGACTCGGCCTCCGGTCCCCGCAGCTCCCTCTCACCGGCAGCACCTTCCACGACCAGATAGCCATGCTGAGCCACCGGTGCTTCAACGCGCTCACCAACAGCTTCCAGCCCTCCCTGCTGGGCCGCAAGATCCTGGCCGCCATCATCATGAAAAAAGACACCCAAGACCTGGGAGTCGTGGTCAGCCTGGGCACAGGTTGGTGAGGCACACACACACACACACACACACACACACACAGTTTCTCACACACACACATGCTCACACACACACACACTCTCACACACAGACACAACACTCACACACACACTCACACACACACTCTCTCATACACACACTCACACACACACAGTCACACACACACACACATGCTCACACACACACACACTCTCTCACACACAGACACAACACACACACACACTCACACTCACACACACTCTCTCATACACACACTCACACACACACAGTCACACACACACACACACACTGTCTCTCACACACTCACACACACACTCACTCTCACACACACACACTCACACTCTCACACACACACACACACACACACACTCTCACACACATGCTCATACTCACACACACACGCTCACACTCACTCTCTCACACACACACACACACACACACACACACACACACACGGTGCCTGAAGGGTGTCCTTGTCCTGCCCTCCGGGAGTCCCTGGGCGAGTTTAAGATGGAACAGACGATTATGTCTCAGTTTGGCTCCGGATCATCCAGAGCGGAGGGGGGGAGGGGGGCGGCTGCCCATCCTCAGGGGAGGGAGCTGGGCGTCGGGATGGGATAAGCGAGGCCCTGAGGACAGCAGCCCCCTCGTCGTCGTCCTGTCCTCGGGGAGTGAGTGCCCGTCCCCCGTGCCTTCCAGGCAATCGCTGTGTGAAGGGAGACTCCCTGAGCCTGAAGGGCGAGACCGTCAACGACTGCCACGCCGAGATCATCTCCCGCCGCGGCTTCGTCAGGTGAGCTGCGCCGGCACCGCGGGCCGGCCGGCGGCACCACGGCTCGGCCTGCCCGCTCTGCTTCCGCCTTTTGAAAAGGCCAGACGGCCTGGTCCTGGGCTCTGCGTGTGAGGACCTCACGCAGCCGGCCAGCCGCCTCAGCCCCTCCCACCGCCGGGGCGGCCGGAGGAGCCGCTGCTCCTGCGAGCGGAGCGGGAGCTGGCCCGGCTGGCGGGCTGAGGAATGCCGGGCCCCGGGGCCCCCGGCGCCTTTCTGCCCCAGACACTGAAGGGTCAGATGAGGCTCCTCCTTCCTGGAGGTCGGATCACAGAAGCAGCTGCTCCCAGGATCCAGCCGTCTCCTCACCGTCTCCTCACCCGCCCTCCCTCCGGCAGGTTTCTCTACAGCGAGCTGATGAAGTACAACCCCCAGACGGCCAACGACAGCATCTTTGAGCTCGCGAAGGGCGGGAAGAAGCTCCAGATCAAGAAGACGGTGTCCTTCCACCTCTACATCAGGTCTGTGCCCGTCGCCGGGGGCTCTCCTGGTCCCCAACAGCCGGTCCCACGGCCCCTCCGCTCTGTGCAGACCTGGGACGGAACGTCTCCCACACACTCTGCCCGCCACCCCGTCCCCCGGGACAGGCTTCCCTCAAAGTCCTGGCTCCCGCCTCACGGGACAGCTCCTGAGCCGGGAAGGGCGGGGAGCACTGCACGGCGGGCGAGTGCTCACAGCGCCCCCCCCGCAGCACGGCCCCGTGCGGGGATGGCGCGCTCTTCGACAAGTCCTGCAGCGACCGCACGGTGGAGAGCACAGACCGGCACTACCCCGTCTTCGAGAACCCCAAGCAGGGCAAGCTGCGCACCAAGGTGGAGAACGGTGAGCGGCCGCCGCCTCCGCACAGGGCTCCTCCGGGGCACAGAGCTCATTGCAGGGGCGGAGGGTCCTGTTTGCAGGCGGAGGGGAGGTCAGGGGTGAGGGGGGGAATGGGCGCAGGAAGATGCGATCAGAAGGAGGCAGAGAGCTGGGCTGGAAGAACAGTGTGGGGGTCAGCCTCCAGTCGTTGCCCTTACAGCCATGGGGACGGACAGGCCCTCGCGGAGCGCGCCTTGGCCGCTGTGGGTCTGACCGAGCTCTCGTGCAGGGGAAGGCACGATCCCGGTGGAGTCCAGTGACATCGTGCCCACGTGGGACGGCATTCGGCTCGGGGAGAGGCTCCGCACCATGTCCTGTAGCGACAAAATCCTCCGCTGGAACGTGCTGGGCCTGCAAGGGGCGCTGTTGACCCACTTCCTGCAGCCCGTGTACCTCAAGTCCGTCACACTGGGTAAGGAAGGGCCCGGATCTCAGACACCGCCTGCTCCGGTGCCAGGAGTTAGCACGATGTCTCCACTTTTCAGAGTGTGTTTGAGTCAGTGATTGGTTCTGCGCGTCCGTCTGTCATGGAGGGAGGCTGGTTTAGGCAGCAAGCCTGGGTGAGGGACCTGCCAGGCAGGCCTCTTCCAGATGAGTCCCTGAAACTCAGCAGCAAAACCGCAGTGTCTTCCTTTCTTAGTCTCCATGGCCCACAGCCTTTCCCGTCACTTCTGGAGCCCAAACGTGTCCGTCCTTCTCCCGCCCAGGTTACCTGTTCAGCCAAGGGCATCTGACTCGTGCCATCTGCTGTCGTCTGACGAGAGACGGGAGTGCATTTGAGAACGGACTGCGCCATCCCTTTGTCGTCAACCACCCCAAGGTGCCACAGCCCCATCCGCTTCTCCCTCGCCTTTTCTCCTTTCCAGCCATCTGTTCGCTGAGCAAACAATCCGGGGTGGCCTGGGGGAGGGTCCTTAGCTGGTGTCCCAAGAGCTTACCCTTTTCTCCCTTTGAATGCCAACAGCTCTCCTACTCTCCTCTTAGTCTGGAATTAACTTCCATCAAAGTGGGGCTAGTGTGCCGAGAGTTTCAGCCACGTGGAACCCTAATAAGTGAGGGGCGAGGTCCCAGCCCTCACCCTTTGCCTCTGAGAGACCTGGTCTCTGCAGGACCCTTTCCTGAGAGGTGTCCGTTCTCTCCCAGGTCGGCCGGGTCAGCGTCTACGACTCCAAACGGCAGTCCGGGAAGACCAAGGAGACGAGCGTCAACTGGTGCCTGGCCGACGGCTACGACCTGGAGATCCTGGACGGCACCAGGGGCACGGTGGACGGGTAAGGAGAGGGCGGCGCGCTGCCGGCCTCCGGCTTCCGAGCCCCAGGCGGCCCCGGGCCCCCGCTTCCGTCCAGCTGAGAAACGTTTCTGTCTCCCCAGGCCGCAGAATGAGCTGTCCCGGGTCTCCAAAAAGAACATTTTCCTCCTATTTAAGAAGCTCTGCTCCTTCCGGGGCCGCAGGGATCTGCTTAAACTCTCCTATGGCGAGGCCAAGAGAGCCGCCCGCGAATACGAGATAGCCAAGAACCACTTCAAAAAAGGCCTCAAGGACATGGGCTACGGGAACTGGATAAGCAAACCCCAGGAGGAGAAGAACTTCCACCTCTGCCCCCTATAGTGCGGCCGGCCACGGGCGGGCGAGGCAGGCAGCGTTCCTCCTGCTAGTCAGGGGTCTTTTTTTTTTATTATTTCTCCTCCGCCTCCTCTTCTTTTTCTCTTTTTTTAACGGAACCACAACTGGTGACACGGAGACCTCGGGGTTCCTGTTTGCCCTGCTTTGGGAATACAGGCCCGGTCTCACCAGGCCCCCTCTTTTCCCGAGCAAAGAGGTAGAGACGGGAGAGAAAAGGGTGTCTCCTTCCCACCAGCCGGAAGCCGCCCCCGAGCACCGCAGCCCGGCTCCTCATCACTTCCGTTTGGGGGTTTCCATGTCCTGCCCCTTGGGGTGCGACCCTGGCCTCCTGAGGTCTGGATTAGGTTCCAGTCGACTCGTTTGCGGACTCTGCAAGCCCCTCGCCCCTTCGAGATCCTCCCTGTGGTCAGGTTTCTCACTTTCCTCGGCGAGGGTGAGAGCAGGAGAGCCCTGCGGCCCCGGAAGGAGCAGAGCTTCTTAGAGACGCGGAGGGAGGCGCGGCGAGGCCCCTGCGGGTGACAGACCCCAGGCGAGCCCGGCTGCCCCTCCCGAAGCATTCCCAGGACGTGCCTGCGGGGGAGGGCGCGGGCAGAGCCCCTGCTGGGCCTCGGCAGGAACAAGGCAGACAGTGACGCGGCCACAGCACTCCCCCACCTGGCGGGTCTCCCCGAGCGGACACCCTGGGGAGCGCTGGAGCCGCAGGTGAGCTAGGAGTGTTTGAAAGGAGCCCGTAAGAGTTGAGTCTTACTGGCCATTGCTGCAGGTAACTAATTGCACAGACGTAGATTCAGAGGTACGTAATTTTTCAAGTGCGCTTCAGAAGGCCGTGAGGGCAGGTCCCGGAGCCGAGGTCTCCCTCCTGCCTGTCGGGGTCTCAGGGCTGACATCGGACCGCAGCTGTACATGGAAGGGCAGGTTCTGAGGTGGAGCCCAGGTCTACCCCTCACACTGAGGAGCCTGTGGTCGGAGCCGTCAGCCTCTGAGCCTGGCTCTGGGCCCGTGTCAGCGGGTGTACATGCTCCCGAGAAGCACAGGCCCGCCACCCAGGCCAGAGCCCCCTTCCCTAGAGCAAGCATGTCAAACGCGTGTTTATGAGGCATGCGCCCCATGGGCCACGAGTTCGACATGCTTGCTCTAGAAGCTCCCTCTGCCTGTACCTGTGAACATGCTGAGCCAGCAGCCTCACACGACCTTTCACCCTCCCTCGCCCAAACGCTGCTGACGAGGGGACTCCCATCGGTCCCACCTCTTCAGTAGTGGAATCATCCACATCCATACTTTTCCTGTGGCTGCTGTTCCCCAGAAGAGACCAAAGGCGAAAGCCCAGGTTCTGTGGGTGCGCTAAGCCGTCTCCATGGGACACCCGGGGTCAGAGGAGCTGGCAGGGAGCAGTGCTGTCCGGGGGGAGGCGCCTGCCCGCCCCGCCCTCTGACTGCTGAAGGCGCGTGGGTCAGTCCTGCCTCGAGGCTGGAGGGTGGCGCCCCTGTGCTTCTGAACACGGGCCCCGCTGAGCACTGCGGCTCCTGTCCGGCAGCCTGGCAGCGTTTGGGTTCTGCTGTGGGAAGAGAGCAAGGCCCCTGACCCCGTGTCTGCGGAAACAATCCCGTCAGGCCCTGCACGGCCCCACCCCGTGCCCCTCGGGGCCACACGCACACAGGAGGCGGAGCCCTCCTCGAGTGGCCTCACCTGTCCAGTCTGTTTTTAATCAGCAGGCCCCCTCCCCACCCCTTCTTTTTTAAAACGATCTTTGTAGTTGATTTGTCTGAACTGTGGCTTTTGTGCATTCCTGAGTAATCACTTGTAAAAATTGTCACTGCTTGACGCTGTTCCCTTCCCTCACCTGGAAGAGACTCTGTTGGGTTTGGGGTTGTAGCAGTGACTCCAAGAGCAGAGTGGGCAGAGCCATGAGGCTGCAGTCAGTTTTTAAATCCCGCTTTATGTGTCTCCCTGATACATGACTAACATATACATTCCTTCTAAGTAAATAAAGAAATAAAGAATCTGAGTTGGTAGAAAGCTTCACGTGTTGGTTTCCTGGGGGAGGCGGGAGCGGACGGAGGCATTTCTGGCACCAGCACCGGCTGCAGCTGACCTTGGGGAGAAGGCCATCCCCACCTGCAGAAGGTGCCATTTCAGTGCACCACCTGGGAGCTGAGCCTGTCAGGCAGGTGAGGTACATCAGGTGTTCCCCCCACCCCCATCAGAGCACCCCTTAATTGTCTTCTTCCCAGAGGCTTGATAGGCAAAATTCCAGAGCCCAGGGTAAGAAAATAGCCACAGTATCTCAATTACCTGCAGAATTCCACCTCTCCCGGGTGGCTTTCACAGCCCCTCCCGGCCACACCCCGCCCCACACGGGGCTTCGCCTGCAGGGATGTGCCACCTGAACCAGGACTGGTCCGGTGGCCGTCTCAGGAGGCGGGCCATTTACTTCATAGCTGGCATCCAGAATATTTCTTCGTCTTGAATTTCAAAGAGAATGCACCACTTGCCACACTGTAATTTAGTCCAGAATTTCTACAGGACTCGCGCTTGACCTTTTAAGAATGATGAGCCAGAGGACACGAGGGTGAGGCTGCCCTAGCAAAGCTTCCTTCCTCACCCATCACACAGAAGCCGCAGCTGAGCCGGGCGGTGCAGGGGGGGGCTAAGGACATGGTTATGTTTGGGGCACAGGAAGGACCAGAGCGCTCTGGGTGTTGCTCCATCTGTTGAAATGGTGCCGGGTGAGCTGACAGCTTTAAACGCAGGGAAGGGTTGCGTGTCTGCTGCCAGGATGTGCCAGGAACCCCGAGCGCCGTGTCCTGTTCTCAGGCAGCCCCTGGCTCCACCTGGAGAGACGGAGTGTCCGGGGCTTGGAGAAGGGGCACTTTCCTGCCTACCTAGGGCGAGTGCCAGGCGGTGGGCTGTCCTCCCACCCCACCTCTGTTAGGCGGGAAAGCTGGCTGCCCTGCGGGGCCACAGGGTTTCCTTAGTTCCGTTCACCCTGCCTTCCATCTAGCAGGCCCACAATGTGATGCCATCTCCAGATCAAACCAGTGTTCTGAGAGCAGGTGTGGCCTCCACGGACTACAGCCCTGACTTCCGGGAGCGCAGGGGCTGTGAGAGGCGGCCCCAGCCCCGCCTCTGCCCTGCCCTCCAGGTCCTCCCAGGAGCTATTTCTGCGCTCTGTCTACCACAGGCCTACCCATTTGGTCATTTCATTCCCATCTAACCAACAGACTTGGAAGGCAGCAGATCACACTAATTGCACAATTACCACTGAACTTTTCTTCAGGTTCTTCTGTCTTGAACCTCATGACAATTTTTTCCCAGCATTCTCTGATTTTCCCATATTTGCCAACCCGGGTCCTCCCTGCCCCCCAATATATAATAACAGACAAGATGTCTTTGGAAACAACTTCACAAGAATCTTGAGTTCCTACAAGGACATCCGCTTTCACCACTCTTATTCAACATAGTGCTGGGAGTCCTAGCCACAGCAACCAGACAAGAAGAAATAAAAGGCATCCAAATTGGAAAGGAGGAGGTAAAACTCATTTGCAGATGATAATATTGTACATAGAAAACCCCAAAGACTCCATCAAGATTTAATAAATGAATTTGGCAATGTAGCAGGCTAACAAAATCAACACGCAAAAATCGATGGCTTTTTTATACACCAATAATGAATTCTCAGAAAGAAAACCAATCCTATTTACCATTGCAACAAGAAAAATTAAGATACTTAGGAGTAAACTTAACCAAGGAGGTAAAAGAGATAGAGGGAGCTATAAACAAATGGAAGAATATACCATATTTATAGATTGGTAGAATGAGCATCATTAAAATGTCCATACTAGCCGAAACCAGTTTGGCTCAATGGATAGAGCGTCGGCTTGGGGACTGAGAGGTCCTGGGTTCGATTCCGGTCAAGGGCATGTACCTTGGTTGCGGGCATATCCCCAGTGGGGGGTGTGTAAGAGGCAGCTGATCGATGACTCTCTCATCGATGTTTCTAGCTCTCTAACTCTCTCCCTTCCTCTCTGTACAAAATCAATAAAAATATATTTTAAGAAAATAATAATAAAATGTCCATACTCTCCCAGACAATCTACAGATTTAATGCAATCCCTATTAAATTCCAGCAGCATATTTCACAGATCTAGAATACTCCAAAATTTTATATGAAACCAAAAAAGATCCCAAGTGGCTGCAGCAATCTTAAGAAAGAAGAACAAAGTTGGAGGAATCACAATACCAGATATCAAGTTACACTACAAAACCACCGCAATCAAAACTGGCACGAGAACAGGCATATGCCCAATGGGACAGAACAGAGACCCCAGAAATCAACCCAAACCATTATGCTCAATATTTGACAAAGGAGGCAATAACACAGTGGAGACAAGATAGTCTTCAATAAATGATGTTGGAAAAATTGGGCACATCCATGCAAAAAAAAAAAAAAAGAAGAAAGAAACTAGACCACCAACCTATACCATACCTAAGAATAAACTCAAGATGGATAAAAGACTTAAATATAAGTCAGGAAACCATCATTTCATAGAAAACACCATAGGCAGCAAATCTCAGACATCTCTCATAGCAATATGTTTATAGATACATCTCCTAGGGAAGGAAACCAAGGAGAACATAAATATGTGGGGCAACAAAATAAAAAGCTCTGCACAGCAAAAGAAACCAACAAAATGAAAAGGGAGCCCCCTGTCTGGGAGAACAATGACACATCTGAAAAAGCGTTAATCTCCAAAATATATAAGGAACTCATACAGCTTAACAAAGGACACCAATCCAATAAAATAAAAAAAAATGAGCAAAAGACCTAAACAGACACTTCTCCAAAGTGAACATACAGATGGCCAAGAGACAAATGAAAAAATGCTCAGTCACTGATCATCAGATGCAAATTAAAACGACGACAAGATGTCACCTCACGCCTGTCAGAATGGCTGCCATCAACAAATGACTGCATGAATGTGGAGAAAGGGGACCCTAGAACACTGCGGGTGGAAATGCAGACTGGTGCAGCCATTATGGAAAACAGTATGGAGTTTCCTCAAAAAACTAAATATGGAACTTCTGTTTGTACCAGTGATCCCACTTTTAGGAATATATCCCAAGAAACCTGAAACACCAATCAGAAAGAATGTATGCAGCCCTATGTTCATAGCAGCACAGTTTACAAAAGCTAAGATTTGGAAACAGCCCAAGTACCCATCAGTAGATGAGAGGATAAAAAAGCTGTGGTACATTTATACCAAGGAATACTATGCTGCAGTTAAAATGAAGGATCTCTTACCCTTTGAGATAGTATGGAGGGGCCTAGTGAATATTATGCTATGTGAAGTAAACCAGTCAGAGAAAGACAAGAATCACATGATCTCACTCATATGTGGAATCTAATGAATAAGCTGACGAACGGAGTAGATCCAGAGACATGGAACAGAGTGCAGAATCTCGGAGGAAAGGCGGGGGAAGGTACATGGGTGGGAAGTGATCAAACAAAGATGCAAATATACATAACCTATGGACTCCGACCATAGGGTGGTAAAGGAGTAGGGGGGTGGCTGGAGGTCAATGGGGAGGGAGGGGAAAGATGGACATATGTAATACTTTAAACAATAAAGATTTTTTTTAAGTTAAAAAAAAAAAAAAAGAATCTTAAGTTCCTAATGAGTCTGGCCTGGAGTGGAAGGGAGGCCACGCAAGGCATGTCGGGGAGAGGGGCACCAAGGGCAGATGGGTGAGGTGTCCTGGACCTACAGCCCCTTCGGAACCATGGGACTCTCACCCTGACCTCTCGGACCTGGGGGATGAATACCAAAACTGTTCATGCCTGGCTTTCTCTGGAGCTCTCTGAGCGTGGAGGGCTGCTCTGGATCACATGGCATCTGTGAGCTGCACATGCGTGGTGCCCCCTCTCTGTGGCCTGTTATTACGTGGGAGGCCCAGAGGAACCTCGGGTTGCCACGTGCACTGAAAATCAAGCTGAGGTGAAGAGGGAACACGGAAAGCTATTGCTATGATGTTTCAGAGGACGTGAGAGTCCCACCCAGCTCCCGGGGAGAGGGAGGGGGAGAGGGAGGGGGAAGGGGAGAGGGAGAAGGAAGGGAAGGGAAGGGGGAGGGGAGGAGGGGGAGGGGGAGGGGGAGGGAGAACTGGGGAGCCGGTAACCCAGCTCCTGCCTGAAGGGAAGACCATGCTTCAGACAACAAGGACACACGCCTCCCGCTTCAGGGAAAGCACGGAGGAACGAAGGAGCACAAACTGCCTGCAGCGCCGGCTTGTCCGTCATCAGGAATCGGAGGAGGGGGAAGCCCTATTGAAAAAGCCCGCCGGGGGTTAGGTACCCCGACCTCTGAAGGCAGCAAAGCAAGTCTCCCCACCGGAGTGGGCCCCAGAGTCCGCTCCTTAACAACCTAAGGCCTCCGTTTGTCAGAAGGCTGCTTTTCTTCCTCGTTTGGGTACAAATAAATCTGCATTTACGTTAAAAACAAAACGTGACGGCTGGTCCTCTGTCCAGTCTGGGTGGGCCGGTGGGAGGCCGTGACACGAGCAGAGGGTGACAGCAGGCCCGGGGCCCACCCTGGCTTGGGAATGAATTCAGAAAAGACCCCGAGGGCCCCCCCCTTTCCTCCTCCCCATCTCAGCCGCGGGAGCGGGGACTCCGGGGCCCCGAGTCAGGTTCCGGCCCAGCCCCGCTCGGCAGCTGCCACCTGCCTCTGAGCCCCGCTTTCTGCCCACAGGCCCCTCCCGGCAGGGCTGTTGTGAGGAATGAGGACAGTGCAGCTGAAGCGCATGGCACAGAGCAGGCCCGTGGCCAGCAGCAGTGAATACTGCAGCAGGGAGGAGACCGAACGGGGGTCAAAGCTCCCCAATTCCCGAGAGCACCCTGGTTCCTCGGAGAGAAACGGCCTTTCCTCCCTCCGCAGGCAGCCTTGCTCTGCAGAGGATGCCAGCTGGGGCTGCCCGTGCCCCGTTGGTGTTTACATCCTCAGTAACGTGGCAC